AAAATATGAAACCGTAATTTATGAAATAAAGAGCAATTATGATCTAAAGGGTATCAAAATTTACAAAAAGAAAGCTTTATATTTATTTGTTTACTTCATTAAACATTTCTTTCAACGTGCGCATGTGTAAAGCATACATTACGCATAGTCGAAATTAGAAAATTGTAACTAGAAAACTATTTGATGTGTATTCGTGATATTTATAATGATGAGGAATTTGGTTTAAATCATAACAAATAAGGAAGTATATCGAGATGAAATACTACATTTAGTAAGGTTTATTAGATTACGGCAAAGCGCTCAAGGGCTTTCTGCCTTAAGGGAGGGATGCCTTTGTGGAGGACTTTTTAAGGGAAACTGGCTTGTATATACGTTACACATGGGGAAAACCACGAAAACGCCCATGCAGCCAGCCTGTTCACGGGATTCGAACCTCGGACCGAACTACCAGTGTTCAGCGACGTTACCACTCGGCCGCTGGTGGGCCATTTAGTAAGGAATTATAAGCCAAATAAAATAAAAACATCTGCCCTGAAGATAAGGACAGTGTTGACAGATCAACTTCCAATTAATTGCGCGCCACGGCGTCCCCCCCCCCGCACAGAGCAGCGTGAAATTGATAAACAGTTTTCGGATTTCGAAACGTACTTTCGCTTCTGGGTCACTTTCTTCACTATCGACAGCGAATTATAATTACGAGGATTTAAATCATATCAAAGACAGAGTACATCGAGATGAAATACTACACTTAGTAAGAAATTATAAGCCAAATAAAATAAAAACATCTGCCCTGAAGATAAGGATAGTGCTGACAGATCAACTTCCCATCCGCGGCGTGAAATTGATAAACAGATTTCGGATTTCGAAACATACTTTCGCTTTGTAGATACAAATTACATATTAGTAAATATATATCGGAAATTCTATTTGACATAATCGAAAGTTAAAGCTTACTTTTATGAAATTGCTCTAACAGTCTGCAAAAAATAATAAGCCGGATCCAATTCGAAGATTAAGGAACAACGCAGTCTGCAACATTAACTGAATAAGATAAGGTTGATCTTTGGATTATGGTAACTTGGCGAATTTTTGGCGAAAATTTCATGACCAACTCTGTTGCAGCAACCCTCTATTTTTTTTTTTTTTGCCGCCATTTTGTCTTCACGAAGTAAAGACATGTTTCATTTCTTTTTATTTACTGAACACTTTTTCCAACACTATACTAGCCGAATTACACTTATGCTAAAAATTTTATGTAACAAAACTGCTTAATCATGACAATATTAACTGCAAAATTGGGAAAAAGTGCACAATCGCAAACTCCTTGCGCGTTTTTCAGAATAGCACATACACATAAACCATTTACACGTCGATTTATTTTTACTTAAAAAAAATCTCAGAATTGCACAAAAATGGCATTGCACACACTCTTAACTTTATCCGTCTACACTGCTATTTTCTCATAAATTACAAAAATTTGCACGAAAATGCAAAAAAATTCTGTGAATCTTTAAACTCGGTAAAAAGCACATATATGAAATTACCTGATCGCGAAAAAGTATATACCTTTCCAAGGATGAACATTTCCACATATAAAAAAATAAAATATCCAAAAACTTTTACCTCTAATTATCTATTATATTAAAACGTCACCAACCAATTCATACCACAAACATTACAAATGGTTACAAATACTTAGTGTCAAATATTTAAATTACAGTCAAAAGTCGTTAATCCGGACTCATCGGGACTTCGGCGATTCCGGATTATCGATTTTTCCGGATTATAGATCATCAGTTTAAATCTGGTAAGATGACATGCAGAAATTACAAAATTAAAAATATGAAACCGTAATTTATGAAATAAAGAACAATTATGATCTAAAGGGTATCAAAATTTACAAAAAGAAAAAGCTTAATATTTATTTGTTTACTTTATTAAACATTTCTTTCAATGTAAGTTGCTTCGTTTCATGTGATAATACTTTTTCTTTAATTCTATTAAACAGACATAATTTCTTGTTTAATTACAAAGTTCCACTGTTCAAGTCCTATAATTGCTGTGTTGAGAATACCGACTAATTTGTCAATCAAAATGTTTTCATTTTCAATAACCTCTGGGTCACTTTCTTCACTATCGAAAGCGAATTATAATTACGAGGATTTAAATCATATCAAAGACAGAGTACATCGAGATGAAATACTACACTTAGTAAGAAATTATAGCCAAATAAAATAAAAACATCTGCCCTGAAGATAAGGATAGTGCTGACAGATCAACTTCCCATCCGCGGCGTGAAATTGATAAACAGATTTCGGATTTCGAAACATACTTTCGCTTTGTAGATACAAATTACATATTAGTAAATATATATCGGAAATTCTATTTGACATAATCGAAAGTTAAAGCTTACTTTTATGAAATTGCTCTAACAGTCTGCAAAAAATAATAAGCCGGATCCAATTCGAAGATTAAGGAACAACGCAATCTGCAACATTAACTGAATTAGATAATGTTAGCTTAGCTTATACCGTCTGTTACACATTAAACGCGCATGCGCACAAACATATTCGCAGCCGTAAAGGTATTACACGCACTCGTAAACGCCTGTGCACGTGCGTGAACGCGACGCATGCGTGGAAAGTTTGTAGCTTTGAGGTCCGGATTATGGGTGTCCGAATTAACGACTTTTGACTGTATTTCCATGCACGTTTACTTCAACTGAAATGTATACCAAATTCCTACAAACATAAAATTCACAAAATAACTATCATTTAATTAAAATATCACTAACCATGTACACGTCGACTTATTCTTACTTAAAAAAATCCCAGAATTCAAAAATGGCAATGCGCACACTCTTCACTATATCCATGTACACTGCTTTTTTCTCATAAATTAAAAATTTCAAGAAAATGCATGAAAATTTTGTGAATCTTTAAATTCGGTTAAAAAGGACATATATGAAATTACCTGATCGCGAAAAAAGTATATACCCTTTCCAAGGATGGACATTTGCACGTATAAAATAAATAAAATATCCAAAAACTTTTACCTCTAAATTATTTATTATAAACATCACCAACGAATTTATAACAAAACATTAAAAATGATTACAAATACTTAGTGTCAAATACTTAAATTCTTTCCATGCACATTTACTTCTATTCAAACGTATTCCAAAATACTACAAACATAAAATTCACAAAATAACTATCATTTAATTTAAATATCACTAAACCATGTACACGTTGATTTATTTTTACTTAAAAAAACATCCCAGAATTGCACAAAAATGGCATTGCGCACACTTTTCACTATATCCATGTACACTACTTTTTTCTCATAAATTAGAAAAATTTCACGAAAATGCATGAAACTACTCAACGTATACTACTCAAACGTATTCCAAAAACTACAAACATATAACTCCACAAAATCAGGATCATTTAATTAAATATAATTAAATTAAGAAACACTACTTAAAATATAAATAAGCACATACATTAATTAATAAAAATTAGCTTACAATCCTAATTACTTTAAACTAAATCATTGCTAATAACAATTTTTCCAATAATACCATATTTATTTATTTACTCCTTACATTTAGAACAATGCATAAAAATAATATCCTCAATAATTAAAAATACTACTAACTTACCTAATCTTCTACAGAATCTTGAGTGCATGGCGGATCACAAAAATGTACATTTTCACAAGGTTCTTGAACCGCCATTTTAAACTTATCTGTAATATTCTTCCTTTCACATAATCTCATTTCATTCCCACTATCGGACATTCATACTTATCCGCAATTAAGCAATTCTTTTCAATTACACATAAATGGCAATAAAAATTTTCGGATTTACTTTATATAGGGCCATGGAATCCAAATATTAAACAACACTGTTCTCACAAAACATAGAATGAAACTAATGCTGTAAAGCACAGCAGATATTTTTTTTTAATTTACACCCTTTTTCTGATTAAAGAACAGTGATTCGTCCATTAACGTCACATGGCACATCTCATGATCTCTCATTTGCCTCACACAAAATAATGCGTAATCGGAAACTCAGTACTTCTTACATTATTCCCAAAGTCCTAGGTAGTAACCTTTATTGCCTCCAAAATGTCGCCAAACTACCTGTTACCATATTCCAAAGATCAGCCCAAGATAATTTTAGCTTAGCTTATACCGTCCGTTATACATTAAAAACGCATGCGCACTTGCATATTTGCAGCCGTAAAGGTCTTACGAGCACGTGTAAACGCCTATGCGCATGCCCAGAAAATTTGTAGCTTTGAGGTCCGGATTATGGGTTTCCGAATTAACGACTTTTGACTGTATTTTGTGAAACCGCTTAAGTATTGTGCAAATCTGACACACGCGTGAGTGAAACTGTCAATTTTTTCACTTGTACTGTAATATATTATTGCAGCTTTAGGTCAATAATTCTAAGACATACAACAATGTGAAAATTTTAAATAAGTAACAGACGAAATGATAGTGTCACGTGTAAAGCAAGAAAAATTAACATTTATATTATAAAAAGAATGCATCGAAACGTTTTCGTTTTTTAGCTTGTCTGTATTATGTTATCTTTATCTATTTTCAGATACATTGTGTAAAAATATTTGGTGATTGTAAAATTATTATAAGTTACAAAAATATCAAAACTGCTAAAATTTTTGCAGTTTTGATATTTTTGTATCTTATAATTACAAACCCTGCTGCAGGTTCCGCAACCCACAGTTTACAAAATCCTCCCACAATTCATTTATCAGAGAACATGCCTAATGCGTAGGCCTTTTTATGTATGAACTGAATGTATACCAGTTTTTCTCTGAAAATCTTTCACCAAGATATCCCTCCCAAGGCATACAGCCCTTAAACGCTTTGTTATTATAAATTAACCAATCAATCAAATAGATACAAAAATGAAAGCATATAATATGGCGATTCTGCAACTTCACCCTTTATTAGTTACCATTACCTGGCATAAAGGCCATTCCCAGATCTCCTCTCTTCTGATGAACTTCGAATTTTAAGACGGCTGCCATATGAAACACGATTTCCTAAGTCAACAGAAGAAGAGCGGTTTCTGAACTTGGGAATCGCACTTTGGCTACTGCTTCGATGACTTGAATCAGCTTTACTAGAACTTCGTCTCATTTTCAGCAGGAAGAAAAAATTTTAATTACTTACGACACAACAGCATAAAAAACTCAAGCACAACAATTACATTTCCCGCCCATTCGTTGAAAAATTACGAGCATCCGCTTGCATGCGCATGTGTTTATGAAGTTATGAATCACTATTGGCTACAGCTGAAGCCGGACAGACAGACAAACAGACAAAGTTGACAGATGTCTTTTGTTGCACCCGCTAAGTCTTTCTGCATCGATGGGCGAAAAATCAAGCATAGGTGCGAAGGAAAGGTGTATAGAAAGGGGGGCAATTTCGTATTTCAGAGGAGAGTAAAAAGGAACTTCGTATATTTTATACGAGTTCAAAAGGCCAGGAAGAAAAGATGGGACAAAATAAAGTAAAAAATAAATGGCCCAAAAGTAATGAAGAGAAAAAAAAAATTATATTTATAATTAAAAAAAAAAAAGGGCCTATAGAAAGAATAGGAAAGGAAGTAAGAGAATTTTGTTTAAAAAAAAAAAGAACCATGATTGTGTTTATGAGTGTAGTCAAAGGAAGTTGTTATCATTTACATTAAATAGAGTCTTCCAGGTGTGTGTAATGAGTGTGTTTTGTAAAGCTGAATAGATGTAAAGATGGGGGAAAATTAATAATAAAATATAAATATTGGGGGTCCAGTCACATAACAGTATCAGTCTAGTTTAGAAGCTAACTTTTGCTATAACAGGGAAACTAAAACTTAAAAATTTTTAAATTAATTGTTTATTTTTTAACATGGGAAACAATATGTTAGCCTCTACCTTGAGACACAGTAACAGATGACACATTAGATCAAGATACATATAATATCATGCAAAATTATACATTAACTTAAGTAACATCATCTACTGTGGTTTCCAACATATTCATATACTCAGAAAACACCATCAGATAAAATCATAAATCTAAAACAAGGCGAGAACACATCAGCAAAAATAAATAAGTTATTTACTTATTTATTTTAATATTAAAATAAAATATTATTATATTAATATAATAAATATATGTATATAAATTATATATATAATTATGTTTTATATAATATATAGTTATATAATTATATGAATATTAAAACTAAGCATTTTATTTATTAAGTTAATGGTCTAATTTATTATATGTGTACTATTTTATCAATTTGAGGCACACTGTATTAATATATGCTTTTAATTTAAATAGATAGGAAATATAGATTAAAGGAGCAAAAACTACAAAGCTATACATTCATTGAGGCCCAAGATCGTGTTTTTTGCCTCTCGAGAAATTCCTCAAAGGGACCCCAATGGGTAGCGCTAACAGACTACACTACTGATAAGGATAGCGTCCCTACGAGATGGTAACCAAAAAACAAAAAAAGAACCACATGATTTAAAGCAATTACTAAGTATTTAATGCCAGAACATAATAAAATGGGCATAATAATAATGATCATAATAAATAAATGAATTTAAAGTACTTTAGTGACAGATATTTGATTTAGCTTAGAGAAAAGAAGTTCTACTTATCTGAATGTTCTGTCTTGGTGTTGTAAAAGATTGCAAGGAAGATAAGACCTTTAGGTACAGGAGAACTTTCGTTTTTGAGAACGAGACAATGTAGAGGATATTCGCGAAAATTTTTCTTAAATAAATGAACGTTTTCTGAAAAAAAAAAAAAAAAAAAAAAAACCTTTGAAAATTTAGGAGCTCGTCTAAGATCCTGCCTCCATCGTACGTGATCACAGCGCCTTCAATTCAACACATAATCAACCGTATCACTAAAAACTGCTAGAGCTGAAGCAAACCGCATGTATTCGTTATCGAGTAACGGGCACATGGATTGATTCGAAGTACCGGATCGGTACTCATAATTTCATTTCGTTATTCGCATTTCTCGTGCGAATCTGTTTTTTTAATACGAATGACGCGGTTGCTAACAATACCTGTGCGTTACAATGCGCGCATATTTTTTTATTGATAATTTCGATTTTTTGGGGGTTAATTCATCGGACAACTAAGTAAGAACATATAAGAATTTCAGAAAGCAGCGCCTCCTTTTGCTCTGTATCTGGTGAAGACCATTGGTAAAACAAAATGAGTAGCATGGACAAAATGAGTAGCATGACAAGAAAAGTATAAGTGGCCGTCATCAGTCGATGAATAAGGTGAGTTTCTGGTGGAAGTTTCAAATCATTGAACTGAAGAGTCTAGTATGAGTAAAAAATGTTAATACACAGATCGTATTTTATTCTTGAGTGTCAAGATGTACAAACATCTTTTTACGTCAGACTGATATTTCTGCTTTCTCTGGGAATGGAGAACATCTAAGAGAGTTGATGCAGTTGTTAGGATTAGTGAGAACTGAATAGAAGAAATTTCTGGCAAGCTTTTGAATATAATCTTGAATTGTGTCTACTTTGAGATCACGGTGGATATACGAATTTGGAATGAATCATAACGCGTTGATAATCTAAGTGCTTTGTTTTGAAGAACTTTGATCTGTTGAAGGTGAGTTTTGGCAGCGTGGCCCCAAACATGACTAGCACAGAGTAATGCTGGTCGAAGTATAGATTTATATAAGAGGAGTTTAATTGAAGCTGAAATATGACATTTTCTACCAAGAAGTGAGCGCATAGTTGCGAGCGTGATATTAATTTTTTTCACAGTTTCCCTGAGATGTTTCTGAAAAGTCAGTTTTTTTTTAATCTAGAATGACTCCTAGATATTTTACTTTGTCAACCCAGTCAATTTCTTCATCAAACAGAAGAGGTCTAGGTGATGTGAAATTTATTCGTTCTTTACGAAAAATTATTGCTTTTGATTTTTCAGTATTAACTGCAATCCTCCAAAGAGTGAGCCAGTTTTCTAGATGATTGAGGTAATGTTGAAGAAGGAGCTGGAAAACTGTAACTGTAGAAGCTTGTGTCATAATTGCAGTATCATCAGCGAAAAGAACAATGGTAATTTGTGGGTCATTAGGAATATCGTAAGTGTAAATATTACAGAAATTTGGGGTAGATGGTTGTTACATAAGTACTGATCCTTGGGGCACTCCAGCGAAAATGTTTCTCGTGGTAGAAACAGAACTGACAATTTTCATAGCAAAGATTTTGTCTTGGAGTTAGGAAGCAATAAGTCTAATACAATAATCAGGGAAGTTCAACTTAATAAGTTTGTATATAAGTTCCCGGTGGCTTACCCTATCAAAAGGTTTCGCATTATCAAGGAAAATGGCTCCAGTACGCAGTGGGGTAACTAGAACTCTTGGGCCCCTACGCAAAAAATTTTGCCTCCCCCCAAAAAATACAGCATTAAAAAAAAGGAAAGGAAACAGAAAACTAGAAAAAAAATCTGAAAGATTTTAGATTTTAACGGTCAACCAAAAGGGTTTGTTGAAGTTTTTTTACCCTGAGCACGCAGTCTACCAGTCTGCTGATGTGCTCATTCCTGCTAACCGTAGCTTTCCGCCTTTTTCCCTTTGTGTGTGTGTCTTTTTAGCTTTATTATTATGCATAATTTTCTTTGCACTTACGCCACATATAGTTCAACATCAAAATCACAAAATTTTTAAAAAGCGGAATAGCAGAATATATTTAAAACTCTAGATGCAGTGTTAGCATACATTTTTATAGTCTTTTCAGGTTTTTCCCAGTTCTTTATACCAGTATCCAATTTTCTTAGTAAGATGGCTCACAATTTTCTTTTCTTTTCTTTTCTTTTTTTTGATAATTAAGTTTTTATAAACTAAATTTATTTATTAAGTATCACGTTCGTCTAACTTACGCACTAACTTGCGCCATATAAAACTCAGTTCAACAGCAAAATCACAATATAGTTTAAAACAGCCTGTTTATGTTCGCTAATTATTTTTTTAAAAAAAACTAGCCGCTCGTTTATTAATTATACGTTTTGAAAATTGAAAACTACAAATAGTATACCATAATTTCTTTTTTATTTTTGCAAACTTCATTCCAAATTAAGTATCAGAATCATGCCTAGTTACTTCTTTGATTTATACTTGAAAAATATATCTATTGATTATTTAATTATAATAACGAAATATATAGAAACAAAATAATACACAAAATAATTACATAAATATAAAATAATACCAGTTTAATAAACATTACTGTACCTTTTTTCAGGCATCTGGGAATTTAATTCTTGTAATTTTATACCTTGTTACATATTTTGTTCCATTCATATATGCCTATATACATATAGATATACTGGAAAGCCCGGAGGTCATACGAAATGACCGCTGTTCTAGATATTATAAATTGTATTAAAATGTCTGTGCTAATTTAAACTGAATGCAAAGGTGTCTGCTAATTTAAACTGAATTACCCAGGGCAGGCGACGAGGACGCCCCTTTGGTTACTGCCCCACGGGGTTTCCCCCTTCTACTTGCTTAATTGCTTAAAGTAGAGTGCAATGAAGGAAATGTACCACTGGCGGTACATTTCTTAAGAGCCACCGCTAGCTCAATCAATAAAGATGATTTACATAATGAAATGTTAATTCACATGTCAAAGATCTCTTTTTACACAACATTTCTTGTGTAGATCTTGCCATCATTTTTAAGCTCGCCTTGCAGAGGACCATCCATTATTTTTAATTTTACGTCCGTTCTTTCACGAACTCTTGAACCGGCAACGTAAAGTTGACCGTGTTCAAATGCAGGCTCAGCTAAAAAAATGCAAACACGCTTAAGCGTGTGGCCCTGAGACTTATGGATGATCATAGCAATGGTCTTATGGATGATCATAGTTTTACAGGAAATTGTCTACGACTCAATTTAAACGGCAACCCGTGCCGTGGCAACTTCACCCCATTGGCTAGTACAGTTACGCAAGCAACCAATAAACTATTGGCGACAAACAGACACTTAAGCCGCATATATATATATGGGGTGAAGTAACATCATCTTTTCCGAAACGGCTGGCTCCAGGGCTTAGCGAAGTACGCCGTTGGACTCCGTAGGTCCGTGGCACGCCATTTTGACCATTCGCGTCTTTTTGGGACTTTAATTAGCCGAGATATTAATTAAAAACTAATTTTCCCCCTACGTTTTCCCTACATTTTCCACTTTCTTTCTTAGGTTTTTCATATTAGAGGGATTTGGCTACGTGCCAAATTCTTTTTTCTCGAATATCTACGGAAAGGCG